TTTCTTTCTACCAAGTTTCAAGGAACCAATTTTCAAATGAACTGTTTGGATCCTGACTCTGAAGCAAGAGCTCATCAGCAGGGGGGCTTTGTTTTTGGCACTTGGCTCACTTGTGTTGCAAAGTTTGGCAACTCTCTTGGCAATTTCTCTGATAGAAAAATAAAGAGACTGTTAACTGAGCACTTACTGTGTGCCAAGTAGACCCAGTGGGATTTATAAAGGTTTGCAAAATCTTTTAATGGATAAAATTTTAATGCAAAAGATTTTATTGATACCGATGTCTAACTTTAAGCTTTCTGGCTCTTCACAGTACGATTTAAATGTAGCTGCAATAGTAGCTCTCAAGTGGAGCATGTTGAAATAAGAATATTGATAACATCGAAATGTTGAATGAGCTACTTAGTATAGTGTTATGGAGTACAGTGACCCCCTTTTTTATTTGCTAAGGAATAGAAAGAACTGTTTTGAAACTCTAAATCAGGGATCTTTGGCCTTTCCGAGTTTGTGTCCTAAGTTTTAAATTTATTTTAAGAATGGATCTTTCACATTCTAGATCTGTCTGTCGTCTTCGGCATCTTTTATAAGTATGAGAAAAATACCTCTTGACTGCAAATTTAAAGCAATTTCTTTGTTAACACTGCCCGGGGCAGGGCACCGTTTCAGAGTGGCTGTTGGCTTCTTCGTGAGAATGATTTCCAATTACGAGCCCTTGGGTATTCCGAGGCTCATAAATTCTGGTCCTTGTGGTTGCTCCCAGCTGCCTCGATCTTCTCTAGCCATTCAGTGGCTGCTGATTCAAGATAAAATGTGCTGCTTTCAGCTCAGCCCCTTTCACTGGGCATGCAGGCAGCGTCTGTGTGCCATCTGGTGGGTGTGCTGGCTGTGGTGCTGGCGCTCAAAGTAGTGGTTGAAAATAGGTTAAACGTTGAAAAGATGGAACGTTCATGAAAAAGAGACTGAAGCCCTTTCTCTTTTTAAAATGAAAATAGAGATAAGCAGAGTAGAAAGAGTCTCCTTATATAATACTTCATTACTTCGTTCCCTTAAACAAAGAGGAAAACTTGATGAAGTCTTTCCCAGGCTGGTCCGGTCCTAAGAATCACCCGAGGCCCTGATAACAGTACACACTGCCAGCCCTGACTGGTGTGGCTCAGTGGGCCATCCCGCACACTGACGGGTCACAGGTCCCATTCCTGGTCAGGGCACAGGCCTGGGTTGTGGGCTAGGTCCCTGGTCGGGAGCGTGTGAGAGGCAATGGGTTGATGTTTCTCTCCCTGTCCTTCCCCCTCCCTTTGCCTCTCTCTAAAAGTAAATAAATAACATCTTTTTAAAAAATAAAAATAATATGCATTCCCACCTATTTTCAAATTTTTTAGGCATCAAATGGAACATAAGAATGTGTATCTCGAATAAGAGGGATACTACTCTCTTCCGTTCCTCTCACATCCTTTGCATTTTTATAACCAGGCACATTTGGGAAGAATTGTGAGAAATTGGAAGAACCAAGTTACTTGAGGCCATATGGTAAACTTATTTAGTTATTAATCAGAAGATATATTGTCCTACAATGGGGAATTCTAATTAAGCAGGTGGAAGAGAAATGAGAAAATTAAGAATTAAAAGGTTTCCCTGACTGAGCACGGTAATAGAAAAAGGACAAAATGACAGATTTTAACTAAAGATAAAGCAGCCAGTGAAAAAGCAGCAGGATCACTTAGTGTTTTTGGACAGACATTTTAAAAATATTGATTGGGAAAGGTTCTACAAAAGACACCTAGTGAGAATGGATTAAGTGAGTTCTAAGATCTTTTAGCTTTAAGCTTTGATGAACTAAATGAAAACAGTTATAATAGTCCAGATACCAGAGCTTGAATTAAGGAGTTCATTTAAGAAATGAAGAGGTACTGTTTAAACCCTGACATGTGGGAAGATGGAGAATTTTTTTTCTCCTTTCAAATGGAAGAATTCATGGCATTTATGGTTCTGGATACCAGATAAAGAAGGAGTTTGCTAATCGTTTTAAAAGATGTCCTCCAAGGAAAAGTGCTTATCAAAGCCAAGAGGACAGATTTGATCCTCCAGGGAAAGTATGTAGGAAAGACTGACATAAAAGATTTATTGACCTATTTAGGCGTGTGCCCTTAGGGTTGTAGAGCTATTTCTTGTTATGGCCATTTAAAGGATCTTTGGTTCATGGGAAGATTTTGGTTAGGTGGTCCCTTTGGGAGAATCTTAGAAGTCCTGTGTTCTGACAGCTGCAGAAACATCGAGGCTTTTACTTCCATGCCTGTGATCTGCAGGGGTGTGCATTTCAGATCTGTCCTTACCTATGTTCTCTATAGGATGCTTGATCTCTATTTTGGAACCAAATGCGCAAGGGGAGGTTCTGGAGGTCACTTTAACCATTATACGAGTACTTTGGAGATAATTATGAACTTTCATCCTCTGTTTCTTACTCCTCCTATTTGTAGTGATAGTGTGGTCGCCCAAGTTAAAAGTTTAATGGCAATAGCCTTTGGATTTACTCTTAGGAAGTTTGGTGAACATGTTGTGCACAAATGTAATGAAATGCAATGTAACAGGGTTATAATGTGCAGATAGGTAATGCACATTATAACTATACTAGTAGCTAGCTATAAATGGAATAAAAACTTAAAAATTTGAGTACGTTTAAATATAAAAATGAAGTCAGCCCTGACTGGTGTGGCTCAGTTGGTTGGGCGTCATCCCACAAAGCGAAAGGTCGCTCACTGATTCAATTCCCGGTCAGGGCACATGCCTGGGCTGTGGGTTTGGTCTCCGGCGGGGGCATGTACAAGAAGCAGCTGATCGACGTTTCTCCCTCTCTTTCTCCCTCCCTTCCCATGTCTCTAAAAATAAATTTAAAAAATTTTTAAAACAATTAATGAAGTCAGAGTGACTGCAGTGTTTATTTACCTTTTGATCATGACCTACGCTATATATATAGATAGGCTATTTTACTTACAGTTTTTGTATTTCCAGTTAGATATGCTATCTTTTCATATTAATTATAAGTCTTTAATATGTGCTTCACTTGGGAAGATAGTGCTGTTCATCTCCTGGACCTGAGTTATTTTTTTCTAAGTAAAGGCGATAGATATCCCCTGAGCCCTACATCCCATTCCTCCCTAGTCCACTGTCTTCGATGACATACATTGTTTTCTGGACGGCTGATCAAAGGTTGTGGAATCTTTTCTCATTGCGAAATGAATTAGCCTGTTTCAGAATCAAACTGTGACTTGATTTCATTAGTAATATATTTGAAATGAACTGATAGACCTTTACAACAGGTATTAACAAGTAGATAAAAGGGTAGTATGGGAAGAAATGTTTGACACTTTCTGACTGCTTATTCTCTGGTGGAAATGTTAATCACTAACGAAAGAAAGCATGTGACACTGTCACACAAGTAGCAGATCAGTGGAGCAGAATAGAAAGACAATATGTGAATCCAAATAAGTAAAACGATCAAGATAGCACTTTGTATCAGTATGGGGGAAGGAGAGTTGATTATTCATTAAAGTAGCCCTCTGGGAAAAAAATTGGATTTTGCACTTCTCATGTCAGATAATTTCAGATGGATCGAGGGTGTAAAATTTAAAGTGAAGGCATTAAAGAATTAGAAGAGAACATGGGGGATATTTTATACCATCTTAGCTTATAATTAATGATAATTTCAAAGAACAGCATATCCAACTGGAAATACGAAGCCTGGAAGATAGTAAAGGATGCATAGCATGTCCGTGCACAATGTCCACCTCCAGAGTGGAGAGTAAAGATAAATAAACTTGGGAGTTAATCTGACTTCCTTTATTTTTATGTTTAAACATACTCACAGATCTTTTTATGCATGATGTAAAAGTCATAAAAGGAAAGAGCTATAAAGTTGCCTGCGTTTCTTTAAGTGTGCACAGAAAATCATATATAAAAGCAAAAGACAAATGTCAAATGTGTAAAAATATTTGCAGCAGGTATAACAAAGAATATACTTATTCCTTCGATATTTAAAGAGGGCCTACCAATAAAAAAACATCACCCATAGCCAATAGAAAGATGAGCATACTTCTCAGGAAGGAAAATTTAGATAACTTTTAAGCAAACCAAGTCAGCCTTATTCATAATAAAACCAAAATAGCAAAATCAAGTACTACTTTTAACAGAAATAAAGTTTGATAACACACTGCGTTGGTAAGGATATGTGGAAACGGACACGTTTCATACATTTTGAAGGGAGGATAAGTTGGTACAATCAATGTATAGAAAGCTGTGTGTATGTGTGTTTACTTTTTGCAGTGTTATTTTTAGTAATAAAAGATTTTACTATTAAAAATGTTTGTAATACTTAATCCATTACTAATGTGCTTAATAAGTAAACTGCTATAGCCATAAAAAGAAATAGTATATAACTAACAAAGTAAATATTGAGGCAAACTACATATACTGGTATGGAAAGCCACCTCAGATAAATACCTATTACTAAGTGGGGAAAAAAGTAACATGCAAACTGTTACAGTATTCAACCACATATGCAAAGGGGAAAAAAAGGATATTTATGCATATATGTCTATATATGCCTAGAATATTTCTGGAAGATTACAAATGAACTGGCACCAGTAGCCGTCACTAGGGAAGGGAAGGTTAGGTGGCAGTTGGCGTTGGGAGGACACTTAGTTTTCACTGTATAGCTTTGTCTCATGAATTTATACCATAGGTTTCCATCAGACATTCATTCATTCACTCTCCCAACAAATATTTGTCGAACCCTGCTATGCCTCCAGCACAGTGCTAGTTGCTGGAGACACAGCAGTGAATGAGATGACAAAGCCCCTGTCCTTGCAGAGCTTAACATTCTGAGAGCGGGTGGGCTATGGACAGCTACTAATTGCATAAGCAAGTAAATAAAAATATGCAGCATGTCAATAAGAGATACGTACAGGCATACCTCGTTTTATTGTGCTTTGCTTTATTGTGCTTCACAGATGTTGCATTTTTTACAAATTGAAGGCAAGACCCTCCACCGGCAAAAGATTACGACTCACTTTATTGCAATACTCGCTCTATTGTGGTGATTTGGAACTGAACCCTCAATATCTCTGAGGTATGCCTGTAGTCTGGTGAAAAAATCATAGTAAGTTAGGAAATGCTGCTATAGGCTGGTCTGCATCTCTGATGCAGTGATGACTGAGCAGAGACTTGAAGGAAGCTGGGGAATAAGACACAGATAAATATCTGGGGGAAGAAACTTACAGGCAGAGGCAATAACAGCAGCCATGAGCCATAAATTTGCTCAGCATGTTTTGAGGAACAGCAAAGAAGTCTGTGTGATTGCAGTAGAAGGAAGTAGAAGGAGGTGGACAGGTGATGAGGTCAGAACCAAATGTGCAGGTGACAAAGGGCTCTTTTAAGCAGCAGGAGGATTTCTGCTGACAGATGCAAAGCCAGCCGGGGTTTTGAATATAATCACTCCACGTAACAGGATTACTTTGACTGCTGTGCGGGGGACAGAACAATGCTCTTCACTGATATAATATGAGCCACTTTTGTAACTTAAAATTTTCTGGTAGCCACATTTAAAAAGGTAAAAAGAAACAAACAATTTCAGTGACAGATTTTATTTAATCCAGTATATCCAAAATATTATCATTCAACATGTAATCAATGTAAACAAATTATCAAAGAGACATTGTTCACTTTTGGGGTACTTAGCCTTAAAAATCTGAAGAGTATTTCTCACTTAGAGCACATGTCAATTTAGATGCTAAATTTTCAACAGTTACGGTAAAAGTTAGTACTACCAAAACAATACAGCTTTATTTAAAGGGAAAACATTTTTAATTGCTTTGGTTTTTTAATTTAAATTAATTAAAATCAAGTAAATTTAAAATGGAGGTTCTAAGTCATGCTAGCCACATTTCAAGTGCTTAATAGCCACATGTGTCTAGTGACTACTGTAATGGATGGGAATAGAATCGGGGGTTGGCAATGCAGAAGTAGGTTGATGAAACAATAATTTAAGCAAGAGCCCTGGCTGGTGTGGCTCAGTGGGTTGAGCACAGGCCTGAGAACCAAAGGGTTGCTGGTTCAATTCCCAGTCTGGGCACAGGCCTGCGTTGTGGGCCAGGTCCCCGGTGGGGGGCGTGCAAGAGACAACTACACATTGATGTTTCTCTCCTTCTCTTTCTCCCTCCCTTCCTCTCTGTCTAAAAATAGATAAATAAAATTTAAAAGTAATAATTAAAGCAAGGGATGGTGACGGACCAGAGTGATAGCAGTGGAGTAGGTGAGAAGTGATGGTATTCAAGATATATATTAAACATAGAGCCAACAGGATTTATTATTGGATTGAATGTAGGATATAAAAGAAAGGGAGGAATTAAGTGATTTTTTTTTGTCTGAACAGTTGAAGAATGGAGTTGACATTTATTTTTATTTTTTATTGATTAATTTGAGAGAGAGAGAAATCAATTTGTTGTTTCACTTAGTTATGCATTCATTGGTTGATTCTTGTATGTGCCCTGACTGAGGATCAAACCCACAACCTTGGGGCATCAGGACCATTGTCCAGCCAAGTCCCCCGACCAGGGCCTGGAGTGACATTTAGGGAGGCAAAGAGAAAGATGGGAGACGGAGGCTTCTGGGTGGGATGGAGAGCAGTCAGGAGTTAAATTTTGGGTGTTAAGTTCAAGATACTTATTGAGCATCAAAATAGAGGTATGAGAAATGACACCCGGATATGTGCATTTGAAGTTCAGGAGAAAGGTTTAATCTGGAGAAATATATGTGAGAGCCATCAGATCACCTAGTAACATGTTGACAGAGGAAAGTTGGAGGACCAGATGTTTTTGAATGTTTTTAGAGAAGGGGAGCCAGCAATCAAGACTGAGAAGGAGAAGCCTGGGAGTTAGGAGAACCAATAGAAAATGATAGTTGGATGCCAAGGAAAAGTCTCTCAGAGATGCAATTCTTTCTCTATGTGTGTCAAATAGGGCTGGTAAGTTAAAATAGGTTGAAGCTGAGAGTTGACCATTGGACGTAACAACATGAAGATGATCTTGGCAGGAGGTATTTCAGTGAAGTTGTGGGGGAGAAGAGGAAGTGGGTTAAAAAAAATAGTAACGGAGACGTGGAGATAGCAAATGCGGACAGATTTTGTGAATTTTTTTGTAGGAGGCAACAGAAATGAGTTGGGAGCCAGAGAGCTGTACATTGTGTGTTTTTTAGATGGAAGAAATAATGCATATTTGTGTGCTGATGAGAATGATTTAGCGGAGAGTGAAAGATGGGGGCGATTCAGGAGACTTAAAAGAGACAGTAGCTTGAAGGATGTCATTTAGACAAATACACGAACTGCCTATTTAAAAAATAAAAATTTAAAGAACAGTCCCGATTGAGGTAACAGAAGAGGAAAATCAAAAGGGCTATATAATCTGTAATTAGCCTCTTACTAATAAATATAAAATTGTGTTGGTCACTTTTTCCCATCCTTTTTTTAATTAAGGTATAATGGATATGTATCTGGTAGAATTACGTTTGACAAACACATACTCCACCACAATCTGAGTTATTTTAAAACTTTTATTTAGAGCTGTAGGTTAGCTTGTCCTGTGAAGTTGGACCCAGTGCACATGAGCTATACCAGTACTTCTGCTTTGACTTATTTATGAACCCATAAAGTAGGCATATCCTAAACTACAGTAAGTTTAGTAATTTGGTTCTTCTGTGAGGATGTGATACAGGCTTGGGTTAAGAAGGTTTTTCCAAAAGCTAATTCCAGCAAAAAACAAAATTTTTCCCCCAGAAAATTAGTGCTGTGAAAAAATAATTTTACAATGGCATCATGCAGACAAACCACAATTCTTTGAATTTTTTTTCATTTTAATTGAACATATTGAAGGTGATTAACTGGAGCTGGAAGAGTTATGAGTGAAAGAAACCTTTGGTGTCTAGACAATTCTAATGGAAAACAGCAAGATTTCATTTACTCAAGAAATTGAAATAAGATTTGAGCCAAAATTTTGTGCCTATGCCAAGATTTGGCATGAGGTTTTACCTTTTTTTTTTTCCCCCAGCCACTTCCCTAGGTGATTGATCTCATTTAGTTAATTCAGGGAATTGCCAGAACCAAAATCCAGGCAGATCTTTAAGTTTTTGTTTTCAATAAATGCATCAAGTACCAGGAATTGGCTTCTGGACAGTATTGGGCCCCTGTTGCCAAGAAGGTAGGAATTAAGGCCAGGCACTTAAGAAAAATTGTTGAGACTTAGTGTGATTTACCTCTCTTTACCTGGCTGAAATTTTGGGAGACTAGATGTTTGTAACCTATTTAAATATGTCCTTTTGAATCAGAAACTTGCATTTCTGCTGCTGAATTTAGTTTATTCGATGAAAAATAAACTGTCTAAACACATACGTGGCTTTTTTCTGAATGCTGCAATTATTGAAATCCCAGCAGAGCCCCTTTAATTGCTTCTAAAACAGATTTTATTTTTACTAATTAAAAAAAAACAGATACCTCATTAATAGACGTTCCTCTTGTTTCAGCAGCTGTAGCTGATTGTCTCACTTTCTCTTTTTCTCTTCAGAATGGCAATAGCTTTTTAAATTATAAAACAAGTGCATGTATGTTTATAAAATGTTTTTTCAATAATAAAAAAGTATTAAAACAAAGTAAAACATTCCCCCTACCATCCTTGCCAGAGCCAACCTCTATTAAATTTGTTATTTACCTTGCCAGACTTTTTGCACATATGTAAACTTACGTGTGTATATAGTTTTTAAGATAAATGGAATCATACTAATTATATTTAAAGATTTTATTTATTTATTTTTAGAGAGAAGGGATGGGAGGAAGAAAGGCATCGATAGGTTGCCTCTTGTACGCCCCCAACCGGGGACCTGGCCCTGCAACCCAGACACGTGCCCTGCCTGGATCTAACTGGTGACCCTTTGGTTCACAGGCCGGCGCTCAGTCCCCTGAGCCACAGCAGCCCGGGCTATATTCCCTTGTAATGAAAACATTTTTCCATTGCAGTACATATTTGTATTTTGGGGGGAGGACTGTATAATACTCTATCATACACATGTATCAAAAGATGTTTGAACATTTAAATTGTTTCCAGGCTTTTGCTTTTATCCACAGTGCTGCAGTCCAAGAACATGTATAATTGTTCTCCATCTGCTTTGTTCATTAGGATTCCTATCCAGGAGTGGGTATGCCCATTGTTAATTAAGATGTTGGAGAGGCCAGGGGACCAGCTTGCTACTTAAGCAGTGGAGGGCAGTTGAAAGGGTATTTGTTGAGGTGGAAAGAGGCTTAAAAATATGTAGAACTGTTTTTAAAGCACTTAAAATTTTGTACTCTAACAAATTTTGTACACAGTTCCCTTACTCCTCTAACTCCATCAGACCGCGCGCCCTCCACCAACAGAGGGCGCCAGCCCCTGAGTGCCAGGGAGAGTGTCTCCCGCACCGGATGTCTGCAGTGCCCAGCATTAGTATTTGACAGATAGGTAAGGTAGTCGGTGCCAAGTAAATATTTTTTTGAATGTGCTGATTTTGCCACATCTTAACCAACTCAGGGCATGGTCAAACTTAATCTTTATCAATCTGGTAGGTGAAAAACTTTCCTTTTTTTTAGATATTAATTTTTTTATTAAAATCAAACTTTTTTTATATGATCATTGGACATTTATATTTCTTCATGTACTCTTATTTTTATATTGAGGTGTTGTCTTATTGATTTATAAGTGGGAAGTTAAGTGAATAAAAATTTTAAGGGTAGTAATCTAATAATGACCTGTATGTGTTGTGGATTTGTTTACCAACTCTGAGATTTGTCTTCTAAGTTATTGGGTCTTTTGTTACTTAAAAAATACCGGTATTTGTTTTTAGGGAGTCAAATCTGTCCATCTGTTTCCACTTAAGATTCTAAATTCTGTAGCATGCTTGGAAGGGCTTTCCTCATCCCTGTACTATTAGAAAAAATGGTTTCATTTCTCCTAATACTTTTATGGTTTTAATTTTCATACTTAAAGATTTTTATCTTTCTGGAATTTATTTTTGTGCAAGATGAGAAATTGAAATCTTAAGGTTTCATTTATTCAGATAGACAATTTCTTGTCTTGACACTGTTCCTTAAGTAATCCATTTTTTCCCATTGGTTTGAATTGCTACCTTTACCATACATAGAATTTTCATATATATTCAGTAGGTGAAGTACTTTCTAGACTTTAATTTATGTTTTGTCAATTTATTTATCTGCTTCTTAGCCAGTATCACATTATTTCATTCACTTTAGCTATGCAATAATTTTGAAATCTGGTGAGCTGAAGTTCCCTTCTTCCTCATTATTCCTTTTTTTTTTTTTTCCAAGATTTTCTTGGCTGTTACCAGCCTTTACTCTTCCACATATACTTTAGAATCAATTTGACAAATTTATTAGGTTCCCTCTAAGTTCTTTTGGTATTAGCTGGCATGTCAGATCTGGCTTTAATAATATTTCTCCTTTTGTTTTTTACCAATGTTTTATATTCTTAATTTTTTTTAGTGTTAGGTTTAAAATCAGAGTCAACCTGTTTCCGAACCTTAATTATCTTCTTGTTTGCTTTATGGGTTTTCCGGAAGTTTTTGACCTTTGCCCCTACCACAGTAGGTCAGAGATGGTCTCTTCTTAAACATTCAGCAGGATGAAGGTGATTTTTAAAGTCCATCTGAGAGCCAGGCTTTTTCAGGGCCACGGTTTCCCTCACAGGAGTTTGTGGAGTGTTCTCCTGCCTGCGACTGAGCTTGTGCCATATGTCTGTCAATTATGTAGCCGTTTCTCCCCTAGAATCGTAGATTATTATTCTCCAAGTTTGGTGGATTCTTAAACTAGTGAATAACCATGGTTAGGGAGTTTTGATAATAGCCTTACTCTTTAGCAGTTAATAAGATACGTTATTTAAAAAATCAGTTGCACAGTTACAGAGTAAGGAAACTATTTCATATACTGGTTGTTCAGTATATTTCAATACTGGTTGTTCAGTCATGTTTTTAAAACAAACAAAAAATAAGGACCTGGTATTTAAATTTACTTCAAACTTAGTGTAAGTCATGATACCTGTTAAAAAGTAAGAAAAGCTACAGTGTAGGCTACATTACGGGAAGTCTGGCATCCAGATTAGGAAAGGTCTATGCTAATCAGTTTTTATAGTTTCATGCACCGATTATGTACCAGGGACTAAACCAGGGACTAAATCAGCTGGGATACAAAGCTGAGAGACACGGCCCACTTACCGTAGAACTACAAGTAAATGATAACAGGCGGTGTGAAAAGCCAGAAGCAGGGCGCCCGGAACCTAGAGCACGGAGGCTGGGCACAGCTTTCAAAGAGAAGGCCACACACACAGCATAGGTGGCAGAGGGAGCCAGGGCTCTCACCAGCTGTGAGACCTTGCGCAGGCCTTTTAGCCTCTCTCTATCCCAGTTTCTTCATGTAGAAAATGAAGCCAGTAGTGCTGTATCTCACACTGTTGTCCTCAGCCTTAATGAGGTGACGTGCGTATGGGACGCCACTAGAGCAGACTCTGGCACATAGTAATAACTCAGAAAATGGTATGAAATCCCATTTCGAAGTGTTAGGAGGTGGCAGGTGTCTCAGCACAAGGAAAGGTGTACGCCAGAGCCAGGGCATAGTTGAACTGGGGCCTTTCCCGGAATTGCAGTATTTCATGATTGGAGCGTGGGGGGCACGTCGGGGGCAAAAGCTGAAGGTGAAGCTGGGAAGGGAGGCTGGAGTGAGATCTCCGAACTGGAGCTTTGTGTCTTGTTCAGGAGTCTGAAAGGTCGAGAAAGTGTTGTGGGGCCTCTGAAGGCCTTAAGCTGAAGGGGAGTGGCCAGGACGGTTTCACCAGTTGAAAGACTGGTTTGTTATCGATGTCTGGAGGGGCTAGGAAAGCTATTTGAAGTAGGATATCCAGTTAGAGCCGCGGTGCCCAGCCCTGGCTCTGCGTTGGGGCCACCCGGAGAACTGTTAACGGTCTGATGCCCAAGTTGACTGTATCAATTATATGACCAGCCCTGCGGGCAGGACCCAGGCATCGGTATTTTTTATTGCTTCCCAGATAATTCCACTGTACAACCATGGTTGTGAACAGCAGTGACTGCATTCAAACCAGATTTGATAATAAGGTTCCCAATTAAAGAAGTACCTACGGCCCAAAGGAACCAGGGTACAGAGATAACAAGTAGGAAACGGTCAGTTGATTGCGGAGGGGGTGATTATTTCTGGATTGGGTCACTGGGTGGACGTGATCAATGTTCCATTGTATACCAAGACTGACGACATGAAAGAGAAGCAGATTTGGGTATTAGGCTTTATTTGGGTATTGAGCGAGGCTGAGAAAGATAAAGAATGTGATTTTAAAACATGGATATTGAGGAAAAATAATACACAACAAATGGACAGAGAGAGAAACTGAAGGGGAAGCGCCAATGGCACAGTTGAAAACTCAAGGGACAGAATAGTAATTGATGACTGAGATCCTTGAGGAGACAGGAAATGTAGAGCAGACATGAAAGAAGTAATTTATATGAGAACCTCCACTCAGAAAGAAATAAGTAAAAATATGAGGGTGCAGAGAAGTTCACAGGTTGAGGAAGAAGAGCTGTAATTTAGCCCCGTGGCCTGATATCCTGACTGCAGGAGATAATGAGTGTCTGCTGAGAATCAGGAGGTAAGGGAAGGGGATTAAGGAATATGGGCCAGCCTCGGCGGCCGAGGAAGGGGGCCGAGGAAGGGGGCCGAGGAAGGGGGCCGAGGAAGGGGGCCGTCTGGGGAAGGAGACTGAGAAGGAGGTGTTTTTGTAGTCCTGCTCTCTCTCACATGTTGTTTTTTTCCCCCCCAGAGTTTCAATGTGGCTCTTTCACATGCTTCCTGGGTGATCCCCTTTGTTGTATCAAATTACACTGTTACCTTCTAAGAGAAACATTGATAAACTGAAATTTGTCAGGAGCAGTTAAGTTGCTGATGTGGTAGTTCCAAAGATTATTCGTTGACCTTTTTGCAGGGTGGTGCTTTGATAGCTTAATTTAAAATATAAAGTGTTGAAATCACTTGAAAACACTGTACAAATCCCACAGTTTCCAACATTACTAACCTAGGTGGCATCATATTTTTTTCTCTATTGTAATAAAACCTCAAAAAACTACCAACTCAATATTTTGAAAACATGTTTTAGTATAAATATTTTGTATTTATACTATAAAGAAATTCTAACACATTTTACTTCATACTTTTTTTTTGGTTTTATGATGTCTAATAAAGAAGTAACTGGATTTCTCAACTCTGATTTAAACTATGCTTTGCCTTATGTATTCGCTCTATTTTTTTCTCTAAAAAACCAACTAAATATCCAGTAGTTAATTGTCAGATAGACTAAACTATTTATTTTACAGATTTCCTCTTCAGCAGAACTAATTGTATTCACTGCAACAAAGCAGTCGTTGGCATGGCTTTTCAGTAAGCCTTCTTGTTTATAATTTACTTATGAGATAACTATAAATTACTTAAACAAAACTGGGGTTAGGACCATGGGGTTAGAAGGTGGCCTTGATATTGCAGAACATTAACCCAGTGTTTCGATACCATTTCAGGTAACATTTCATTTGTTGCGTATCCAGTTTCCAGCACCAACTCACCAACAAAGATTTTACCTAAAACCCTAGGACCAATAAATGTGAATGTTGGACCCCAAATGGTAAGAAAATTATCAAATCTTAAAATTTGAAACTTTGCTTAGGTAAGACTAATTAAAGGATAATTGTACTAAAGATGGTCAAATATTCCAGTTAATTTCTTACCTCAATCAGATTTTTAAGAAGTTTTGTTTTTATCTGAATGTAACTGTTTAAGTCTTGGGAAAAAGAAAGGCGTGTGCTCTTCATTGTTTAATTTCTGTGCATTTGGTTCTGTGAATTCCACATGTGTAAGACGTTTTTGCTCCCTCTGTGAGTCTTCTCTTGTTTCTTGTTTGGTTAAGTTGTTTTGAAATCTGTTGTTTTTATGTTCTTTTCCTTTTTTCTTTCCTTTTTTTTTTTTTTTGACTTTTAAAATAATCTTGACTGCCCTAAACTATGCGCTCTCATATACATTGTACATGACCCATTAGTTAACCTGTATCTGGAGCTATTAGTTTGAAATCGGTGATTAAAGGACATTTGAGAGGCGAATAACGTGCCAATTCATTTTAATATTTAACAGTAGAAATAATGGATGAAAATGAGAAATATTTAACTTTTTCTGATGGTATTTCATTAATTTTGTTAGAGCTTGAAGTGTACAGCACTTTTAGAAAGCCTTACTTATAAACAAAGTTGCATGCAACTACTCTAAGAAATATACCTAATTTAAATGGCTTCACCACCCTCAGCAAAACTTTGTAAGCATTTGAACAGCAGCTCCTCATTGTATGTTCTCATGTATAGTGCAGTAAGGATAAAATTTGCCTATAAGGTACAGAACTGAGGACTCTGTTAAACACAAAATTATTTACACAAAAATATCTTTTAATGTACCTACTGGCTCCAGGAAGTCTTTAAGATTTTAAGACATTCTAGGCATGACATTTTTCTGATCGCTTGAGAACTGTTAGTTATCTACAGAATCCAAGCCAAAGATCTAACAATTTACCCTAACTATGTGAAGAATGTAATCTAGCTCCAAACCTCATAGAAACGTAAGCTTAGGTAAGTGCTTCCACTTCAAGGTGGTTCAAGGTGTATTTTCAAACATTTGCTAGCATCTTGCTGCCCCTCAACCACTACGGCAGGTACAGGTGAGAGAGGGCACCTAACTTTAAAGTCTGCACTTTGAAATGTGATTAGGTAAACACCAAAATTAAACAAACTCTTACGAGTTTGGCCCTTACAGTATTCCTCTGTTTTGAGATATTGTTCTCTGTTGGTATTTTAGTGACGATGGCTCAAGTTCGAATTTCTCTTTTGGAAACATGTAATTTCTCTTTCAATTTTCAGTTTGAACTAATGTACGTGAAAGTCTTTACATGCTTCAGTTCGGACAATGATAGGTAATTAGGTATAATACTTACCCAATTACTGCTAACCTCAGAATCAGCAAAAGGGTCAGACAGAAAGGAGATCGGGCCGTCCCTTAAACCAGGCCAGCCCCAGGCCTATGTGTGTCTCCCTAATTCTCAGGTGTTTTTTTGCAGTTCTTAGCTTTTGGGCCAGAATCCAGAGTTTTTGTTTTGATTTCCTCATTGATGTAGACCCCCATTAGAGCCATTTCTTTCTTCTTCTCTTGCTTGTCTCTTATGAACATTGTCCCTTGGCCTTCAATTTCTCATTCATGATTTTAAAAAATATTTGTTTAATTAGAAATTCTTGAATAAAACCGCCCTCATTTCTCCTTGTGGCAAATTTAAATTTCATGTCTTTTTGGAAGCCAAATCTTAATGGTAGATAGAAATTTCAAAAGTCCCTGAGAAAAACCTTTTTTTGGTGTTTCTAAAAACTAGCAGTAACTGTTTTAGTTTGGGAAACTTGCCCTTTTCTTAAAGGCATCTGTATGTGTATATATATGACCTTATGATTTTTTAAATATGATTAAAACTACATGTTTCTGATATTAAAAACTAGAATTTCATGAAATAGTGAAATCTTTTAATATAATACTTTATAATTATATAGCTTTTTTCCCCTTCAGAATAACATGCTCCCTTGGCTTTCTTACTGTAGGTGGCAGTGGTACATAAGATACACTGATTGAGGACAGAAAATCTCTCGAATGAGGTTCAATTGCTGTATGATTTTCATTGCCTAACTGTAGTCTATTGTCAAAGAAACCACAATTACATTTAAATTAAGATTGTCTTTGTTTGGGGGAGGACGGTTTTGAGGGGAAGGTAAACTTGAAATGTTCATTGGCCTTATCAGATCAACTGAATATTAAAGTAATTGCCTCGAATTATGTCTCATTTTAATTGGGGGTTTCAAAATTAAGGTTTAGTTTTACGGGCATGTCTGACTCATCACTTACATAAGTTTCTAATATTCAGTGGTTGATCAGTTCTGTTAACTTTCCTTCGGGTTTGTTTCTTAAGACTCACTGTCCTAATTTAAAAACTCATTGCATCTCACGTGAGCTTCCAACTGGTCTTTCCCATTCAAGTCTATCATCCCCAATTTGTTCATTCAGAAAATGTTTATTAAGAACTTACTATGTACCAGGCCCTGTGCTAAAAAGAAGGGAACAGAGAACTGTTAACCACTCTCAGACCAGAGAAGAGTACCAGCTGACAGTCTGACACAGAGGAAGAAAAAGTAAACTAGAACATAGCAGTTCATTTCCGAAGTCATCCTCAGTAATGATAACTATGTCTTCCTATGCTCTGTTTCCTTTCCATCTTTCTTTCTTTTTTTTTTCCCTACAAAGCCCTTTAAATCAAGTAAAACCGAGGCTGTAGGCTGCTAGTAACAAATACAGAGAAAGAACTCCTTAGTAGTAATACTGCACAAGTAATGGAGCCTGTTCCAAGGGTAGGGTGGAACACTTAGAATTGCTTTTTGAAGACCCCTGCTCTCAAAAGAGTAGACCAAAGACTGATTAAATACTCAAATTTTCCTTAAGTTGTCACAGTCAAGAGGACATTTGAATATGTGATGTAGTGATTGGTGAGAACTGTCTTTTATATCGTAGAGTATTTTCTTGCTGGATTTTATATAATCCTTTCTAGTGTATCAGTGAATAAAGAAACTACTTTTTTTCATCATCTTAAAAGCTGGGTCTTCTGTCTCCGTTCAGTACATTTTATCCTGTGAGTGTTCTGCTAGGCCCTGCAGACACTCTCTGCCCTCACAGATCTTGCACCGAAATGTAGGTGAGGAGGTGAGATGGGATACATAGAGGGATGTAGGAGGTCCAGACACATTACCTAGTATTCATATTTTCACACAAGGCAAGCTTCTGAATGCCCTGATTAATAATCCTTGGCATTTTGTGGAGAGTCAGAATTCTCCAGACACCTATCATTGTTTATTGTTTTTTGTTTTTATTTTTGAATTATAAAATTAACTTACTAAAATTATTTCCTAGGCACTTGTATATTGTAATATTTCCCTAGCCCCTAGTTGGCATAATGCCAAACACAGAGGGTAACTAAAGTTCTTAAGTATTTAGTAAATGAATAAATGTTGAGTAGACTTGACTAAATCTGAACTGAGCGCGAAATGCAGATGAATTCTTCCCTGAGGTTCAGTGTGGAGCAAGTTGGCAACTAACTTAATGACTCAGCTTAGCCCCTGGCTGCCAAAACAGGTTTCATTTAATCGGGAAGACAAAAAATCAGTTAGCATTTTGACTTACATAAGGTAGTAGAAATAAAAGTATTTCTTTTGTTTTAAGAGCTGCCGTTTAAAAAGTATACATCCATATTGATGCTTTTCCCTCTCAATTGGCACTTAAACAAAACCTCACTATTACGAACATTTTCCCAGGCCTACAGAAGTAGAGCCTCTGCGGCCAGCCACCCCTGCGACAGTTATCTGGGGTGGGGACAGTCTTGTTTCACTAATACCCCTATTCACTGCCCTTTTTTTTTTTTTTTTAATGAAAACACTTTAAAAGATTTTACCAGAATGCTAAATTGTTTTCAGATTAATTATGATAAACATTTGGGGGGGGGAAATATTCTATGTACAAATGAAAGTTAAGAGACCTGAAAAGCAATTTGGTAAGACATACCAAGGAACTTGTGTTTCATGTCCTGAGTTCCATTTCCAGAATCTGGCCTTAGGAAATAGGAATTAAGGCTAAGATCGTTGTACAAAAATGTTTATCACAGCATGGTGTATAATATTGAATGATTGAATATCCATATATCTGAGAGGGAATAAGAAGTTTAAATGATGGAATATAATATGTCTTTGAAGAATATTTAATGACATGAGGAAATAATGCTCTTGGAAAAAAGATAAAATTGCATCTGGGTAATAACCTACAATGTGTCATGTCTTTGGAAATATTTTGGACTGTGAAGATCTGATTTACTGTTACCCCGGTTCTAGTAAATCAAGCTTAACTGGAATTAGGTTCTGTAATTTCAAAGAAAACTTTTTGTTTTTCTGATTTTTAAAACATTGTCAGTTGCCAGCTTAATCCTTCCAAATTGCTCTTCACTTGCCGAAACCTGCATTGTGGCCTCATGTCAGTATTCAGGATACTGTACTTTGATTCATATAAAGAAATGAGAGGTATTGCTCATATTTTAGATGATTAATAGTAAGTGCATTTTAGGCAATAAAGTTTCCTCCTTGTATATAGGTTAGCCATCAACATTATTTTGTGCCCGTAGGCTTTTCTTAATAACTGAGACTATTATTTCCTTTGTCCTTAATTACAGATTATAAGCACACCTCAGAGACTAACCAGCTCAGGAAGTGTTCTGATCGGGAGCCCGTACACCCCTGCGCCGGCGATGGTCACTCAGACGCACATAGCAGAGGCTACCGGCTGGGTCCCCAGGTAAGAGCTGTTATCAGTTGCCAGTGTTTAAGCTTTTTTTTTTTAAAAAGCTGTAACCGTTTTCCTCACAACCTTGTCTTCTGTTCTTGTTTTATACTAATCTAGTTTTTAAAGACGAATGTGTCTCCTTTATAATTACTTATTTTAGTTCACTTCATATCTTAGATAGAAACCATTTATGGAGCAACCATTTTATTTTATCTTTATATTTATTTTTTTTCACAGGTACTGGAGACTTTTTATTTACTCACTCATCTTTTTTTTTTTTTTTTTTTTTTTTTTTGAGCAACCGTTTTAAAAGAGAGAAAAAGAGTATAAAAACTTATACCTGAATCTTCTGGCTTTTTTCAGCTCTGAAAGGCAACTTTATATGATTATGGCATTTAGCTGCTTTGAAGATGTCAAAACAATATAAAATGTAACTATACAAACATACAATGTTTGTCATGTATGTCAAAAATACAAAAAGATACATTCAATGTTGACTATACTCAGAATTTCTCTTATGAATTCTTATTTCCTTAAAAACCATAAAAGGAACTAGGAGAAAGAGGCCAAGTATATTGAACTTTTCATTGAGTTTCCCCTTGATTGTTTTGAAATACTGGGCAGTTCATATTTCTTCTGTGTTGCTGAGTGGTATCAAAGCTTCACTTGTTTCATCTTTACCTGTAAAATACCATTACTAAGCATTTTTCCACTAATTTAAACATCTCTTGTTTCCATAAAAGAAAAACAAATAGTAAAACTAATTACTCAAAACTTCATTCTGTCACTTTAGAAGTTATTTAGATCATTATTTAAATACTGTGCTGGTAGTTCTATCTTTGACTTAGAACTGTAAGTTCTAGTTGGCAGACAATAAATCTTGGTTGAGGAAAAATCTCCTTGCTTCAAGATTATTAAACAAATTAATGAAATAATCCTGACAAAGTATTTTAAGCCATATACATCTTCATATACCTACCCACATGCACGCACGCACAGAGACAGAAGAGTTTCATATGTATTCATACTTTTCCATTATCAAATGAGATGAGATGGCAGAACCACCTGTGCTTCTGTGGCCTTGACTCAGTCATTATGAGCATTCTCATGTGGGTGTAAGAGTCACCGGGATTTCTGCACAGCCCTGGGAGATTATAACATGAACGCTACGCGTGTGCAGGTGGGGTTGGCTCACTTTGGAGATGACCAGGGTTCGAATGTTTTCAGCCCCAGCTGCGCTTTATGTTGGGGGTGGTATGGTTGGCAGTGTTTTTATAGTCAGTCATTCCAGAGTAAATAAAAATTCTCTGTGTCTTTTTCCTTGTAAACCTGCAGTGTTTTCCTCCTTAAAGATTCATTGATCTCATTTCAAACAAGGTTATCATGTGATTTCTTGGTCCTTTGGTAAAATTTAAGTTTTTATTTTATGGATGCATCTTAAATGATTAGTTAGTTTTGTGTTTGGATATATTTGTTGTAGAATTAGACAAGTTACAATAAATTATTCATGAAATAAAGTAGTGTTTATATGTGTTCTTTTTATGCTTTTTTTTCTTCTTTTTAGTGATAGAAAACGGGCTAGAGAATTTATAGACACTGATTTTTCAGAAAGGTGAGTATGAGTGTGAGTATTTTGTTTGGGAGATGCTACTGCGTAGAGAGGTTTGGTTCCCAGACTTTGCGTTAGTTTAAGTTAGTGAGATGTTTTTATACACAATAACTTTGACTTTATTGAGTTTCTACCATTATTTCATACTACATTATTTATTTTATTTATATGGTTTTAAAAGAAATTATCCTGTGAGTAGATTGGCTTTGGTAGTATGTCAGTTAGCCCCCTCCCTCCTTTTGGGAGATGATGCATTCTACCAAAGTGAATGCTCCACATTACCTCGGCATGCCCAAACCTTCTACAAACTTTACTGAACACATTTAAAGATCATAGTGAATTCTTACTTCTTTCTTAAATAATACATCAAGTACAATGTAACCTTTCCTTAGATTATTAGGATAGTGCTTCTCAGTTCTCAGTGTGCATCAGAACCACCTGTGGTCTGTTGAAAAACTATAAGTGCCTACGTACCAAGTGTAAAACTCCAGGACTGAAAACTGTCACTTTCTGCAGGATTGAAAATTCACTTTCTAGTCATTGTTGAACATAAGTTCAGTATTCCACGCAAGCCACTGTGCTGAGTACGATATTAATGTTGCACTGCTAAAATAAGATGCCTGGTCTTACAGGCAGTTGAATTCTGTAAGATTATTACTGTTTTAAATAACACCTTGCCAGTTATGCTTTTAAATTTTATTTTTGATTCTAAGATTTTGTAATTCCCTTTTTCAATGGTATTTCAGTCTCCTTTCTCCTGTTAGGTTATCTGCTCTCAATATAAAAGTTGTCTGTCTTTTACATTTCCTAGTTTGCTGTCATCCTTCACTTGCTGGGCACTGAGAAGCTAGATGGCCAACTGTGTTAGAATTCAGTCTAAAATAAAAGGGAATGGGCTCTGAGTGAGGACCTTGGGCTATATATTTTAAAAGTGTGTATTCTTATATTGACACAGCTCTGCTTTAATTCCTTGGTGGCTCTTGTTGCTTGCTTCTTGGTTCTTAACTGCTTTGAACACAAAATCATCTCTGAGGAACTACTGTATCATATAGAAATATATGACAAAATGTTCTTTTCTCTCTAATGGAAATTACACTTTCCAACTGATACTGGTCTTTGTATTTATCCTAGGAAAGGGTAGGAGTGTAAGTCCTTACAAATGTATTTAGCAATGTTTAAGGCCTTAAAATAGAACTATTCATTAGTTATGATTGTTGGCAGCTGTTATTGCAAACAGTATAAAAATAAGATTCTCTTTATTTTCTCCTTTGTAAGAAAAAGGCCTCAAAAGATCACATTAAAAGTGCTAGGTTAAATTTGTTAGAATAACCATTGATTCGGCTTTGTCTTTCTACATCTGGTTCAGTGGCTTTTTTATTTTGCTAATGGTTTTTATTATTCTCTTTTTGTTTTTTAATATAATTTTTCTGTAATGAATCCCTCTCCCTAATCAAACCACAAAAATGACTACATGTGGTTTTTATTATTGTTCTTACAAATGTTTAATTTCCTCCAAATTTATTGTATTTTTGTACAGTGCTGCAAAAAGTCTTTGTTTCCCTTCTCCCAAGTGTTCAGGTTTAAAAAGCCAGCTCTCAACTCTAGGTTAATCTTTATTTCTTCTGTGTCTCATATGTAGATTTTAGTTTGCTATGTAAATATTTTTATTAGTTTTCCTCAGGGATTTATACATCAATATATGCAGATAGTTACAAGTTTTTTATCCTCATCTTACTGCTTGACAGTACAACTTGAGGTGTGTTTTACACAGTTGTTCCTTGGTTAAGGTCCTTTGCAAAAGCAAGTTGGTTTCTGAAGAACTTGTTTGGTGGGTTGGTGGGGTCCCTGGAAGAGAGATTCTCAACAGTTTTTCCCTGTATTCTGATCCACTGGGCTTCTTATCACAGAGTTTGCAGGAGAAGGAGCTGTGAAAATTCCGTTTCTGGTCTTGCATGGGGTTTTGATCCTGGAAGATGTTTGTTCACTTTCTCTTTTAACCTTTGGACAGAATCTGATGGTGTCTTCTAAATGCATCTCTTCCAAATAGGTCTGCTTTTGCTTTGGGACTTCTACTGGTCCTTAATATCTTTTTTTGTGTTGGAATTCAGTTAAAATTTTATTTAAAATAAACTAATACAACTTATACTATAAGTTAATAATAATCAAAATCTTTATAGTTAATATCTGTAACTGCTTAATGATGCCGATGACGTTTGTTCATCCAACACATATTTTGAAGATCTGTTAAGGGTTGCTGTGTTCTAGGCATCGGAGAGCATGATAAATAAGAGAAAAGTCTCTGCCCTTAAAGAGTTGATATGGGGGTGGACACTAAACTTTCGACTGTGGTAGGTGGTATGAAAAAGAATAAAAGGGTGGATGGCACATTACTGGCAGCAGGGTGGCTGCCTTAGAGAAAGCCTCTCTGAGGAGATCACATTTGAATGCAAAGAGGTCAGGCGTGTAAATCGCCCGGTGATGTGGGGCAGCCAGGGATTCCAGGCAGGGGGAATGGCAACTGTAAAACTAAAGGAGGAACCGGGTTGCTGTATTTGGGGAAGCACAGTGGCTTGGAGATAGTAAGAAAGGCAAGTGATAGGAGCCGAGGATGGAGAGGTGGGCAGCAGTCGGATCATGGACCGACTTACAGGTCACAGTAAAACCAAAGGAATTTGGTTTTTATTTGTAAAGAGGGTTTTAAGAAGAGAAATGACATCTAATTTACATTGGCTACTGAAATGGATTCTAAGGAGATAAGAACCGAAGCAGGGAAGTCTGTTAGAAGGTATCATAGGAGGCAGTGGCTTGTAGTGGAGATAGGGAAAAAATGAATTAGTTTTGGAGCTAGAACCAGCAGAGTTTAATAACAGATTGAAGAGAGGAATGGAGGCGATAAAGGATGGTTTTTTGGTTTGTTTTTGGGTGTTTTTTTTTTTTTTGCATGAACCGCTGGGGGAATATGGATGTCATTTACATTTATTGTTGTTAGGTTTGGGGAGGGATTGCGTTTTGTTTTAGATATAGGAAGTTCAAGAATTTTATTAGTTATCTAAGTGATAGTATCATTAGTATGGAAGTAGTTCATCAGCGTGTAAATGGTCATAGGCCTGGATGACATACCCAAGGAGGGAGAGAGTAAAGGTCCATGAGGAATAAACGTTTATTTCCCATCTCAAGTTTCCCCCCTTCCCCCCGCCACACTCCAGACACATACCCAATGGTAAACATATTTACGGGAAAGTGAGGGGTTTTTTTTTCTAAATTACTTTATCAAATTACTAAATTATCTTGCTGATTTAAATATTCTGGTTTACTCATTTTAATAAGAAATACAGTTTTTATTATATAATACATAATTTATTTAAATGGAACACATTTATTATACATGGGGTATACTGCTTTATACTACAAATTTTAGTTTTATATTATTTTTGTAAATAAAAATAAATTATTATTAGGAAAATATAAAAAGGGTACTGGTTGTGGATTCTTGTTAAGTCCCTAGAAAGAGAAATACTTTAATTCTTTGGGCACAATCTTTTTGAATACTTAAAATGAAATTATTATAGAAATATAACATGTTTTTCAAACTATACTATATTAGTAGTTTTATTTTCTTATTTCTTAATTTCTCAGTTTGGTTTTATTTGTTAAAGAATGCTTCCTGCTGGTTCTTTTATTTGATTTATGGCCATAGTGTTTACATCCTGTGGCCAAATTTAGTGTCATTTAGAAAGGTGATCTTGGTGTTTCAAAGAGCTCAGGTTCTAAGAGAGCATGTAAACTCTATCTGTTTAAGATTTAGAAAGGAAGATTTCAGTTAAGGATGATAAACTGAACACCACGTTTACACCCTAACCCCTAAAATCCTATTGACATTTTCATGCAAAACTAATAAAAGGAAATAAATCTCCAAAAGTGCTGTAGAAAGTGGTAGAGTTACAGATTTTTTCCAATTGGAAGATGAAAACTAGTGTGATTATAATGAAAGACGAGTGAAAGTAGAGAAATCCACACCTCAAAACACGCAGAGAAGTCCGCGTTGGGGATGGGAGCTGTCCCCGCCCTGCCCCGCCCTGCCCCGCCCTGGCCCGGAGGGCCTCCGGCCTGGAGTCTGCACGTGTAACTAGCAAGGAAGAGCTATTGGGGGAGTAACGAGGGTGCGGAGTGAAAAATACCCAAGGAGCACCTCAGCCACCTAAACCTTCCCAGTCCTCCACGTCCTTGCCCTTGTACCTCCCATCCCATCTCTACAAACAGAGAAATTACACCAAAGACAGTTCCTCAGGCTGAAACCCAGAAAGTTCATCTCAAGGAAGCAGGACCCCTGCTTTGGTTGAGTTTCTGACTGGCTTCTTTCCTTTAGCTTAATTTCAAGGTTCATCCACCCTGTGGCATAAATTAGTACTTCATTTCTTTTTATTACTGAATAATATTTCATTGTGTGGGTATATCACATTTTGTCTATTTGGACATTTTAAGTTGTTTCTACTTTTTGGCTATTGTGAATGATGCTATTGTAAACATTTGTGAACTAGTTTTTATATGGATTTAAGTTTTTCTTTTTCTTGTATGGAATGGAATTGCTGGGTCATATGGTAATTCTTTGGCCTTTTGAATAACTGTCAGACTATTTTCCAGAGTGGTTGTACCATTCTGTATTTTCACCAGCAAAAGATTCCAATTTCTCCACATCTTTGTGAACACATATCTGTCTCTTTTATGTGGATCTATTTCGTTAGGGTTGATTTTCATTTCCCCAATGGCTGATGGTATTGAGCAATTTCTCCTGTGGTTATTGGCTGTTTGTGTATCATCTTTGACTAACATCTGTCTGCTCAGATCCTGGAGACTGTCATTTCATTACTGAGTTGTAAGGGCTTTTAAAAATATAGATACAAGACACTTTACAATTTGCAAAAAAATTCTATTCTGTGGGTTGTCTTTTTCACCTACTTGATGGTATCCTTTGAAGCTCAAAGGGTTTTAATTTAGACTATGTT